CGTCGCGCATGGCACGCTGCTGGGCGAGGGCCACGCACTTGGCATTGCCAGAGCAATGCCTCGCCGCGTTGGCAATGATGCCTGCCGCCGTCGCTGATTTGCCAGTGCCAGGGTAGGCCTCGCACAGGGCAACGCCATCTTCCCGGTCAAGTGCGCGGTCGATGAACTGCATCTGGGCGTTCGTGAACTTTTTGCCGATGTCCGTGGACTGCTTCAAGATCTCCTCGGAACTCATCTGCTCGAAGACACTGGGATTGCGCTGGACGCCAGCGGATGCCACGCCGTGCTCCGGCAGCAGCGACCGGCAGCACGGCGACGGATCAGTGCGGAGGCTGCGCTTCAAGGCAGCGATAGCATTTGCCTCAGCGCCAACATACTCACCGATGCAAACGAATACCCGCCCGCGGACTGACGCCCCGCGCTGCAGTCGCAGGAGCGGCTCCTCGTCAGTGCCCGCGGTCGCGAGGCACAGGTGGAGCTCACCGCGCTCCACGGCCTCGACGAAGAGAGACCCTTTCTCACCGTTCGCGAGCGCGGGGAATACACCTGCGCCTGCCCCCGTCTGCTTCTCCGCCGCAGCGGCCGCGACCGCCCGCATCTGCTCTTCCGCCACGACGAGCGCCACGTGATCGCGAACGTGGCCCGGGTCCACCACGGGGTGGTCCAGGACCAAGGTGTCCCAGACGTCGAGGCTGCAGTCAACGTCGTTCGCGCAGGCTGGCACGAGCACGTTGCCGGTGCCGGAATAGGTGATTTCGCCAGCCAGAAACGCGTGGATGCAATTGTTCTTCAGCTGATGTACGACGTAAGGGGCCCACATGCTCTCCGGGACGACGTCGCCATGATGCTTCTGCGCATTGCTGCGGAAAGATAACACCCCGCAGCTGCATTGCTCGCCGAGCATTCGGCCCAGCCCGACGCCTGGGCCGAAGCGGCAAGGATCCCGAGACACCACAAACTCCTCCAAGTCCGACCACCCCAGCTGCACGGGGGCGCCGTAGGCCGCTCGCTGGAGGACGCGCCCGAGACCAGTCCAACGATCCAGCTCCTTGTTCAGCGCATCCTTGTTGTTCTTGATCCGAGGTTTCCAATCGAGAAGCTGCTCCTCCATGGAGTCCAGAATGCTTCCCAGCGCAAGTCGGATGCCCATGCTCGCTGGGCCGCGGAGCAAAGCAAACAGGCTCGATCGCTGACCAGAGGGAAAGTGTCGCAGAGCGGCCCTGGCGTCGGCGGTGCGGTCCGCGTCGACCGCGCAAGCGCAGGAGACGCAGAAACTCCTCACACTCTTCAGGGCGCCACTGCGGCCGCGGATAACGCAGGGGCGATCGTCGGCTCGCGGGCGGATGGTCTCGCGGTTGCTGGCTGCCACTGTCACGGAGAGAACCTGGGAGACCCTGTCGCCGACCTTGAAGCCTGCCTCCAAGGGCACGCCGAACTCCCAGGCGTCTGTGAATGAAGCGTTGCCGCGCAATTCGGACCCCCAATCTTCTATCTTGACACCGATGTCGGGTAGATCCAATGCGCCGCGTCGCAGGCGTGGCCGATCCGGCATGACCACGTTGTAGAAGATGACGATCTGAGGCGACATGGCTGAGACCAGGCCGGCAATGCCAAGCCACGTACAGGAACGGGAGAATGGAAGTAGCAGGCCGGCAATGCCGAGCCACGCAAGGGGTAGAATGACAGGCCGGCAATGCCGAGCCACGCAAGAAGTAGAATGACAGGCCGGCAATGCCGAGCCACGCCAAAAGGGTGATATCTCGAGGGAGATACGGCTGCAGCTCTATCCCCTCGCTCAGGCGGGGCCTCCCTGGAGGGGTGGGAGGGGGCACGAAACCTGATAAGTGATACGGTATTCGTATACCTTCCTCGCTCAGGCGGGGCCTCTTGGAGAAGAGGGATGGCACGAAACCTTATAAATAGTATGGTATGCGTACACCCTCATCGCTCAGGCGGTGCCTCCCTGGAGGGGTGGGAGGAGCACGAAATCTGATAAATACTATTGTATTCGCCGACTCTCCTCGCTCAGGCGGGGCCACCGAGGAAGGGTGGGAGGGACACGAAACCTGATAAATATTATGGTATGGCATGGTACGAGTGCTGTGATATGGTATGGTATGGTATGGTAAATATGGTATGGTATGGTAGATCTGGTGTAATATGGTATGTGATGTATCGTATGGTAGGTCTGATATGGTATGGTAGGTATGGTATAGGGGAAGGAAGCGGGAGAAGGAGGAGAAGGATAATGGGAGGGTGTTCTAGGAAAGCAAAAAACTCATCACGCCACCCCCCCCCGAGGCCAACCTCTTCGCCCTCCCAGCAGCGAGCGGGTACAACATAAACGGGCGATTTTGTTGTACCCCGATCAGGAGGGACCGTCACTGAATTGTCACAGACACTTTCTGATGTTGCTGCTGCTGTTCCTTCTCCTCCTCCCCCTCCCTCGTCCTCCTTGTCCTCCTCGTCCTCGTCGTCGTCGTCGTCGTCGTCCTCCTCCTCTTCCTCCTCCTCCTCCTTCTCCTCCTCCTCCTCCCAGTTCCCCCCCCTCCGTCGTTCGGTTGGTTTTCGGGCTGTACCTCGTTCCCCGAAGTTCGATCCTCGAACCTCCGAGTGGTTCGGACCATGACAGTACAACCTCAAGACGGCCTCGCGATGATACTAGGAGACCCGCAGACTGCAGTGATCGCCCCAACACGGCGGAAAAAAAAAGCCAAGAAACCCAACAATATGGCGCAAGACGACCAATGGGCCCCCAAGAAGCCCAAGAGAGGTCCAAGAGGGCCCTCAAAATAAGTGGTAAAACTTATCGTTTGGAACCCATGCTTGTACCACTTATTTTGGGCGCCCCCAGAGAAGCCTGGCAGGCCCCAGGGAGGCCCCCAAGGGCCTCCGGACATTTCCGTGGCAGCCTCCGCTGGGTTTTGGAAGCCTCCGGAAGCGGACGGCACGGTATTATCTCACCACTCACGACCGATTTTTCCTTCGGCCTTGGCGGGAGAAGAGCACGGGAAAAAATTAACTAATAAACAATATATCATATTTTCACTTTCAATATTTTCTGGCGCCGTCGTCGCCGTCGTCGCCGTCGTCGTCGTCATCGTCGTCCAGAGTCTTTGGAAGTGTGTGGACGGCGCGCTCCCGGACACTTCCGCCGACTTCGCTTTCGCCGCCGCCGCCGCCGCCTCCACCGCCGCCGCCGCCGTCGTCGCCGTCGTCGTCGTCATCGTCGTCCAGAGTCTTTGGAAGTGTCCGGACGGCGCGCTCCCGGACACTTCCGCCGACTTCGCTTTCGCCGCCGCCGCCGCCGCCTCCACCGCCGCCGCCGCCGTCCTCGCCGTCGTCGTCGCGCCCGCTGCCCCTGTCGTCGTCGTCGTCGTCGTCATGGTCGTCGGGGGTGGCCCGGGCCCCGGGGGTACCGAACAAAAAAGCACTGTAGAGTTCACGTCTGCGAGCGGCGGCACGATTACCGCTCCCTGCGTAAACGCTGGCAGACCAGGAAGAAATGAAAGAGTAGGAGGAGGACGAGGAGGAGGAGTAAAAATAGTAGGGAGAAGGCGGAGGCATAATATGAGAAAAAACATGCCAAGGAGGCGGTGGCCCAGGGACCGGGGGTACCGCACTTTTAATATTTTCTGGCGCCGTCGTCGCCGTCTCAGCCTATCTGGCGGAGGTTCTGGCAATCGCCAGGGCCCAATATATTATTTAATTTATTTAATTTATTTAAATTATTTAATTTATTTAAAACGCAGCAAATAAATAAATTAAATAAATTCGGGTGCACCTGAAGCCCGCCATGATCTCCGCCAGGGAGGCCGAAAAAATAAATTAAATAAATTAAATAAATTAAATAAATTAAATAAATGGGATTTATTTAATTTATTTAATTAACCCACATAAATAAATTAAATAAATTAAATAAATTAAATAAATTCTATTTATTTAATTTATTAATTTATTTATTTTATTTAATTTATTTAATTTATTTCTCGGTCTATCTGGCGGAGAGCCTGGCGATCCCCAGGGCCCAATATATTATTTAATTTATTTAATTATTTAATTTATTTAAAACGCAGCAATTAAATAAATTAAATAAATTCGGGTGCACCTGAAGCCTGCCGTGATCTCCGCCAGGGAGGCCGAAAAAATAAATTAAATAAATTAAATAAATTAAATAAATTAAATAAATTTAAAAAATAGAATTTATTTAATTTATTTAATTAACTCACATAGATAAATTAAATAAATTAAATAAATTAAATAAATTCTATTTATTTAATTTATTTAATTTATTTAATTTATTTAATTTATTAAATTTATTTAATTTATTTCTCGGCCTATCTGGCGGAGAGCCTGGCGATCGCCAGGGCCCAATATTATTTAATTTATTTAATTATTTAATTTATTTAAAACGCAGCAATTCAATAAATTAAATAAATTCGGGCGCGCCTGAAGCCTGCCGTGATCTCCGCCAGGGAGGCCGAACAAATAAATAAAATAAATTAAATAAATTAAATAAAATAAATAAATTAAATAAATAGAATTTATTTAATTTATTTAATTAGCCAACATAAATGAATTAAATAAGTTAAATAAATTAAATTAATTGAACATATTATACTGGATTCATCTCCAATCATATACATATATATATATGGTTTCCTCCTCTTTCCTACGCATTCCCTCCGCCCAACATTCCTACGTAATTCCTCCGGTACATGGGCGGCTGGGCGGATGGAATTTTCGGTGAAAACCACGTCGGATCGGTTTTTTCCTGGATCGGCCCTGGATCGGATCCCATTTTCCAGAACCCCTCCTCAATTCCTCGCTCCTCCGCAAGCCTCCTGCGCTCCAGGCCTCCTGCCTCGAGCAGCCTTCCTCAGGCTTCCCGCCGCCAGCGTCTCTCCTCGGGCTTTCTGCCTGCGGCGCCTCTCTTCGAGCTTCCGCCTGCGCCTCTCCTGGGGCTTCCTGCCGTCGGCGCCTCTCCTCTCCTCGGCCTCCTAGTCCGAGTCGCTCGGGCTCTCACTTTTCTTCTGCTTCTCTTTCTTGTCCTTATTGATCGCAGTCTTCTTGCCGCTCGATCCCTTGGGCTTCGCAGCTTCGCGCAGACGCATCTCCTCTTCGTCTCTCGCCCAAGCCTGGCGGACTAGAACCTTTGCTTCCAGGAGAAGCTCTTCGATGTCTTTCTTCCAGCCCGCCACCTTGCCACACTGTGTCTCAAACTCAGCTGCAGTCACCTGGAGGCCGCTTTTTTTCGGGGGGGGGGGGGCGTCTAAACCCGAAACCGTTGTCCTGGGCTCTGGGAGTCATGGCGAAATGGCCCCTCTCAAAATCTACACCCTCCAATCGGTTTCCCCAAATCCTCACATCCCCGCCTCGTCCCTCTTCGAATGCTCATCCAGCCGCGCCTGCTTCTTGTGCGAGGCCTCATCCGTGACCATCATCTCCTGCAGGCTCTCGCCGGCAAACAGGCTCTGCACCCGGGCGCGGACGGAGGGCGGGGAGCACCATGAGATAGGATACCTTGCAAGGAGAGGTGAGCAGAAGGAGGGAGGCCAAGGAAGAGAATCAGACGACAAGAAGATGATTTAAACACGCCCACGGGCTCAGGATGCGGGGCGAGGGGCCCGAAGAACTCCAGGGTGCACGCGCGGCGGACGAGCTGAACGGTGGAGGTGGACAGGCAGCTTCGAGGTATCAAATTCCCGAATTAATGGCAGGAGGGGCGGGCGCGAGAAGCTGACGAGCTATGGGAAGCCCATGGACGATCGGCACGCCAATCAAGGCGCCGTATTCAGCTGGTCGCCCATCGGCTTCCTCAGGTTATTCAGCTTCTCGCAGGACTTGTCGGTCTTAATGAGAGCCTCCACCTTGGATACCTCACCAAGGGCCTGCGTGTATGCCTGCTTCACGGCTCTGAACTTGGTCAGCCACTCTGGTGTTGTTTTTAAGGCTCTTTAGGCGCCTTGCCACGGTCTTTCTCCTTGACGCCGCCTTTTGATTTGCCACCGTCTTTGTCTTTTTCTTTGCCAGCCTCTTTGGTCTTCTTGCCTTTCTCACTGTCTTTAGTCTTCTGCTCGTTGTCCGCAGTGTCTTTATCCTTCTTGTCTTTCTTTGGTTTGTCGCCCTCTTCGTCGGAGCCCGCTGCGCCCTCCTCTTCCTGATCCTCGATCTTTCTCCTCTTAGACGGTGGTTCCTCTTCTTCGTCGTCGTCTGCACCTCTCTCTCTCTGCTGGCCGCCGCCGCCCCATCCTCAAGAGCCGTTTCGTTCAACCACTTCTCAGTGCGAGTCCACCTTCTCGTGAATCTGTCGTTCAGTTGGTGACGCACGAGGAGAAATTCAAGGATGCCTCCCAGATCACAGTATCTTGTGTAGATCCCGCCCACGATCGCACAACTAGCGCAATATTTAATTGCAACGGCTAGGCCAGTTGGCCCACCCCCCTTTAGCCACGCGATCCGTCCAAGCGTGCAATATTCCCCCAGAGCAGCCTCCCCTTTCTCCATGCTCTCACCCTTCTCCATTGCCACATCCTTCTTCCAATCTAAGTGGCATTTTTTTGCCCACCTAGCCCTGTATTCCTTCTGTGCCTTCCAGCCTTTCTCCTGCTTGTATTCCTCCTGGATCGTCTTGCTTGCTTCCTTCGCGCGGTTCCATCGCCCTGCAGCTTCATTGCCTTGAGTGGTGTCCAGGGTGAATTTGTACCCCGCTGCCTCCATCTTGTCGTAGTACATATTCTCTTTTTGTCATATGCGCTTAGCTGGCCGAAGACTTCATCGAGATCCTCATCCTCGTCGTTGTCGCCATCCTTCTTCAGAAGAGCTTTCTACCTAGGATCCTTTTTCCTCATCCCTTCCACCTTCGTCAGCAGATTTGTCTTGTAAAGGTCAGCGAGCTTGGCCTGCATTACAGTGTGGGCTTCCTCCTCCGAGCGCGGAATTGCGGATTCATTCTGGATGTTTGCGATCTGCGTTTGAAGTAGCTTTACCAGGCTGCTCCCATCCGTGGCCTCAACTTGCGCAGCATCCATATTCGGGGTCGGCGCCGCAGACTCTACGGCCTGGAGGGGGCGGGAACTTCCTGGGGCGTCCTCGCGAGTTCCGTTTTGCTTCTTGGGGGGCGGTGGTTGCAGCGATTCGGATGCGTGTCGTTTGCTCTCTTGGTTTCTTGGTGTACCCACGCTTGTCAAAGATTTGGCGTCCTCTTCCAGTTGCTCCTCTTTTTTCTTGTTCTCGTGTTTCATCAGCTGCACTCTGCTTGCAACCCCTTCGGCTCTTTCGAACACCTGTCTGTATGTTTGCATTAGCTGCTCGTGCTCCTCTCGTTTCTGCTGTCGCTCCTTATTTCGCTCCTCCTTCTCCTGTTTTCTCTTCAGTTTCGCCGCTGCTTCATCCTCTTCAGCTTTTCCCATCTCCTCCTCGGCTCTCTCGTTCTCAAGTCTCATCTTTTCTTTTTCTTCTTCGCGTTCTGCTTCCATCTTTTTCCAAGCTAGGTATATCTCTAGATCATGAAGCTGACGCTCCTTCTCCTCCTCTTCTTTGCGTTCTTTCTCAAGCGCTTCGTGTTTCTTTTGGAGCTCGAAGATCGCTTCCGCCTCTTTTTGCATCCCTTCTTCATCGCACACTGACGAATTCGACGAGTTCAGTCCTGCGCTGGGCGGCGGGGACGGGGAGCCCACAGCTCCGACTGTCCTGATTGGCGGCGTGCTTGGAGCGGGCTGTGGAGCAGATTCTCCTCCTCCGTATGCTGCTTCCTGGCGCTTGCTCCTGCACCTGCTCCTGCCCTCGGAATCTGCCTCTGCTCCTTCTGCTGCTGATGATGCGCCTGTTCCTGCTTCCAATCTTTTTGCGATCCCATTTAGCCTTCTGTATGCGAGTTTCTCTGCTGCGCTCAGCTGGCGGTCCGACATCAACTCAACGGAGCATGGTGACTCTGGCACCGTCTGCGTCGCCCGCGGGCGAAGGGCGGCTGGGAAGGGTGGAAGGTGGGATTGGCGAGGGGGGTAAGTACATTATCATATATCTCTCTCTATATCTCTTTCTCTAACTACTTGCTCCCATACCATCGCCCGTGCCACGTACTAGCACCCATGCGCTGAATGCGTCGCAATCCCTCTAATCTACCCAATTCTTTCGCCCGCTTCCCGTCACGTGCGCCCCCCCCTTACCCTGCACCCAGTCTCCTCCTCAAGGTCGATCGGCTCTCCAGCATCCGTGCCGTAGTAGCCAGGCGGCGGGGCAGAGTCCTGGCCGAGATCGCACCTCCCGCATGCTAATCTGCCGTCGTGGACATACCCTCTCCCTCCTCATCCTCCCCCTCCCCCTCCCTCCCACGCCTCATCGTCACTATCTTCCCCTATTCTGCTGCTGCTGCCCCACTTCGAGAGTATGCTTCACGTCCTCAGCGTGCGAGCTGCTCGCAGCTGCCATCGCGATGGCAAGGGCCCGCTGGGGCCCCGCTCAACCCCAGGTGCTGCGCCGAAGGGGGGGGGGGGTCCGCGCGCCCCTGCAAGGGGCACTTGAACCGAAACGTATCGAACGATCTCGGAGGGAAAGCCGTGCGTGATGACGACGCTAAAGACGATTTAGGTTTCACATTGTTTTTGTCCGAAGCGCGCGCACAGCGCGGCAATATCTGCAAGCCGCAGGCGCGCCCCGACGGAGCGAAGCCGCATCACGCAGTCGCGCGTCTGATCCTCATCCTTACCTCGTCCTCCTTACCTCGTCCTCAAACCTCTGCTGTCCCAGACTCCACCTCGATTCAACTTCCTCATGAGCTCCCGCTCAACAAGAGCAATGCGATGGCTTGCAACCTTTGTGATGACCACTTGCCGCTAAAAGCTTCACACATCAACCCCCTTCGCACTATCTCTCCTTCCTCATCCCAGCTTCTAGCAATCAAAACCAGCCGCTGCCCATGCTGCAGGAAGAACCGCTAGAATCGTTCTTTTCAAGCTTCCTCTTTTTGGCGCCATCCTGCTCTTTCTCTGCGGGTCTCGTCTTCTTTGCCTCCTCTGCCTTCTCTGGACTGTCGCCGCTGCCGCCTGCTTTCGCCCCCTCGTCCTCTGAGCCCTTCTTTCTCTTTTTCGGAGCCTTTGCCTGATCGCCTGCTTTTGCTTTTGCTTTTCCTTTTGCCTTGCCCTTGGGTTTGCCACGTGTCTTCTCCTCTGGCGGCTTTCCCTCGCCCTCCTCCCCGTCCTCCTCCTCCTCGCCCTTATTCTCCTCAGTCTCGCCCTCACTTGATCCTGCCGGCCTCTTCCTCGCGATTTTTGGCTCGTCGTCTTCGCCCTCACTGCTGCCGCCGTCGCGTTCTGGAGCGTCATCGCTCGAATCATCCACTGCAGCCTTGTCCTCGTCATCGGGTTTGACCACCGTTGTTGCTGGCTTCCTTTTCGGTCCGTCGCCATCTTCACCATCGCTACCGTCTGGGTCGCCGCCCTCGGCGGTTGAAGCAGCTGGCCTCTTGGCAGCGGGCCTCTTCATCACGGCTGCGCCCTTCTCCATCTCTTTGGCGTATTCGGCCTTTGCTTTCTCAAACCCCTCCTTGGTGAGTCTTCCCTTGGACACTGACTCGGCCCACTGCCTCATCTTGGACTCGGGATTCACGAAATAATCCTGAAGCGTCAACTGACCGAACATGGAAGCGTTTTTCCAGATCGCCAGGAAGTGTTTCTGCCCCTGATCCCTCGTGCACCGCGTCAAGGTCCAAGTTTCGCCCCCCGTGGAATAAGAGTACAGTGGCTCCTTTTTTCATTTTTTCTCCTTTTGCTTCCCGCCACTCTGTTGCCGAGACGCCCGCTACTGTCCACGCAGTGCCGCCCTCCCACTCCGCCTGTGCCTTATCCCCATCCTCATCCTCGTAATGCTTCGTCGCGTACTGAGGCGGCTTCTTCGGTCTCACCCTGCACGCAGCCCC